TTTTTTGTCATTTTATTACTCTCTTTCTCTCTATCTATATTGACAGTGTCTACTAATTTTTCGTCTGTTTGTAACAGTAAATGGAACTTGTTACGAAAAATATTATTGATTAATTAATAGTTGATGACAATAACAAAAATCGTCTTTTGTCTATAAAGTAAATAGAATATATAGTAATATTGTTCGTCTTGTGTAATATCGGAAAAAAAATGTTTGCATTGGACAACGACACTCATTTACCAGTCATGATTGACTCTCCTACAAAAACACCTTTTATTCAAGACTTAGAAACGTGTAGGTGGTCTTGTCACGTCCATTCAAACTCAGACTGTTCAATGACTTACATCAATGGTATACAATATCACGTGGTTGAGATAAAACCGGTGAATCGTTCGAAATATGCAATAAATGAATATAATAGACCGCCTCCACACTTGCGTAAAGATTTAAATAGTTCGTACGGAAATAATGACTTTTGGGAACCTTTAACTGCTTTTTCTATGGATCCACCCATGATATGTGCGTTTGATAAATGTTCACAAAAATTCGACAAAAACGCTTTGGTTAAAATATTCAATACTATTTTTCGAGGTTTACATGATCGGAATGAACAATTTTTTAAATATAACACACCGTTCGACATGGTACACAAACACATTTTGACGGATGGTTTCGGAAATTTTACATTATGCAATCGTCATCTTTTGTTCAAACACTCGAGACCTAAATTAAAATATATATCGAAACTTTGGGAACGTGGTATATTGAAAACTTTATTTCCTAAACCTGATAATCGCGCATGTGCCCTTAGACGTGCGATCTTGGGTAAACGAAGCTTTGAGTAAATCAAATACTCAAGAACGACAAAGACGGATTAAAAAAATAAAATAAAAACTTCTTAAACATCAATAACGCTATATTTTTAAAATGTAATATACAAGAAATAAACTTTTTTTTTTTTAATAAATTACAAACATTTTGAGTCAATTTTTTTTTTTAATAATTATGAAATTGTTCAAACCCAATATGCACATTAATTTATACATTATACTGTTTATTCAAGCGACTATATTCTGCAGCAGTCAATGGATTACGTTTTTGCCATTCTTGAAGTTTATAAGTAAACATAACTTTTACACCGATAGGAAACTTATTCGATATCAATTGATTAACATCATCTTTGCGTAAGAGTTTCAACACCGTGATTGTGATGAATTGATCTAAACACAAAATTACGCAGTAATAAATATGAACCTCATTAAAATAATATGATTAGATTTAAATAATTAAAAATATCACCAATTAACCGGTCATGTAAAATCTCCAACCTCCACAACTGTAATATTTCACGCAAACGATGACGATCTTCCGCTGGATAAGCATGGTGGTTTTGCATGATTACTCAAGTTATATTTGATTCTTGCTGTTACAGATGTGCGACTATAGATTTGTCAATCAAGATATTCAACAAACGACTATATTGCAACGTAGGAAATATCTTTAAGCGAAAATACTCTAGACCCTTTTATTCCAAATGACCAGACATCGCGGTTTATATTCCAATCTATTTGCACATAAATAGTGGTACGTCGTCTGAAAAATTATATAATAATAATATGGGATTGAGAACTGATCGGTGAACAACAACACGACTGTATCTCATAATATTATAAATACTCCGCTCATTCTCACCAATATTGACCGATTTAATTGTAAACATCTTTAGTCTAGTCTGTCCAATTAGTGTTGAGAAAGTTATAAAAACAAAATATAAATTTGCTCAAACTCAATCGGATCCAATATTAAAAGAAATGTATATACACATATTATAAAGTATCTAATACGTAATATTGTAACCCACTGTGCAGTAAAGAGTTAAATATTACATATACAATTCAATGTCGATCAAAAATAAATATATTTAATTGTGTAATAAAAATAAATTGTTATTTTATAATTATTTTTTTGTTGTTAGTATTTTGTTTCATTGCCGCCTTTTTAAATGTTTAAACATTTTTATTTATTCAATAATAGACTCTTATTTAAGTATATGAGACTTGTTATAATTAATTAGACGCGGTGAAATTTACGAGAATCTGTATCGTTGAACTATTTTCAAAAATGTCCGTATTTAATATTGAATTATTTGTGACAGTTTCATTCGCGTCTGCCGATGTCATTAACTGTTGATGTTTATTGAGGGCGTAATATAAAAAACCGAGTACCTACCGATATCATTGCCAAAATTGTTTTCAAAAACCTATTCCACAACGATTTTATCGTGTAATCGAAATCGTTTTTAGACAGATCTTGTTCCATATCTTTTTCAACATTTGTCTGGAGTTGTTGTAAATTATTTTTTAAATCGTCTAACTGTTTGCTGTTTAGGTTTTTGCCAAGTTCGGCAATTATTTTAGTCATATTAGTTTCGTCTAAAACTAGCTGTTCAGACATTTCGTCAAAAACGCTGACTTTATAATCTTTGGTTTGGATTTCACTAACGTTCGGTACGCCGTATCAAAAGCCGAATAAAACGTCGGTTTTACAATTTTTTTTCTCCGTTGTATAACCCCACCACCAATCCCACCACGACACCGATGACATTTTATTTGAAAACTATGAGATTACGATCGCTAAGCTCAAAAAAAAACTTCTTAAAATCTCGTTATATTAATAATGTATAAACAAGTACTATATATATACTTTATGTACAAACACAACAAAAAAAGGTGGGCGTGTCTTTTTTTTAACAAGCATTGCTGATAAATATTCTATAAAAACGAACGAGCCGTAATGTTTCTCGGTACTCGTACGTTGCACGCATCGCAAATAACACAAAGCGTTCAAAGTGAATGCCGTAACTATTTTGCTATTAACGAAATAATGCAACAATCATTCAATAACGCGTACTCATGACTTCTGTAGTAAATAAATTATGGTGTTGGATGAACGGGTCGTGTAAAGACACTTCCGACGTCACAAATAATATTTTATTCCATAAAAATGTGACGACTGATGACAATTTTTGGGTGAGATTATATTACAATGAATATATTCTAATGTTTATAAATTAAATAATCTTTATATATAAAATAATATATTGTTTTATTACCGGTTTAGATATCTTGTGTTTTAGACTAGTCTTTAGAAGTTAAATATGTAAATGGTTTAATTACAAAGATGATAGACACAGACAAATGTATTATCGACAATAAATATTATTATCAGAAAAATAATCCAAAAGAAATTATTAATTTTGCGTTTGCGGAAAAAAATAGTTCTGTCAGAATGTGTCTTAACAGAAAAAAAAATTCCATTCATTCTGAATGGAAACTAGCAAATTGTTTAATATCTGAAGATTTTCCTCGTCATCAGCCTAAAGTGTACAGTTTTTATTTAATAATAATGAGAACATCGATAATTGTATTGTAATAATTTATCTATATATTTTTTTTATAGATTAAAAATAAACAAATCTATAACTGAAGAAAAAAAAGAATCGGGTTATCAAATTTTTAAATTTGACAACACCGACAACGATAAAATTATTAATTTTGAAGAGTCCGACAAAAATTCAATTAACGACGTTGACGACGTCGACAACAATCAAATCGTTATAGAAATATTAGGCAATGTGCCTATAAATATCAAATTGAGTCAAGAATTAATTGTTCGAGTATTTATATTTATATTTATACATTTATATTTACATTTATCAATGTATTGACAAATTCTGGTTTTTTATACAGATATGTATCAGAAACAATAGTTATGTGGAATCATTAACACTCGACGATTACCAACCAATTCGAAAAAAAAACTCACAATATTTGTCGATAATTATAAATGTAATTTACCGATCATAATCGACGTTCGATCCGAACACATTGTTGACGTTACTCTTAAAGGGATGTAAGTACAAATAATATACTCTTACATTACAATTAATACATATTTTGGTTTTTTTTTTCAAGATATTTAGGAAAATCTACCTAACCTAACCTAACCTAACCTTACCGTACGTAGGTCTCCGGTTCGTATTTTTTCCAAGTGTTTGGAACGGCGCGACGCGTTCAGAGTCCCGGGAGACCGTACGTCGGTCTCCGGTTCGTATTTTTTCTAAGTGTTTGAAACGGCGCGACGCGTTCAGAGTCCCGGGAGACCGTACGTCGGTCTCCGTGTCGTATTTTTTCTAAGTGTTTTCGAAACGTTCGAAAAATTTTTCGATCGTTGACCGAACCTCGAGAAGGGGACCAGACACACAAAAAACGTAGAAATGACGATTGCCAACCGTCGACATTTCTACGTTTTTTGTGTTTCTGGTCCCTTTCTCGAGGTTCGGTCAACACTCTCGAAAAAAAAAACACCCGAATATTTTCTAAGTGTTTGAAACGGCGCGACGCGTTCAGAGTCCCGGGAGACCGTACGTAGGTCTCCGGTTTGTATTTTTTAAAAGTGTTTGGAACGGCGCGACGCGTTCAGAGTCCCGGGAGACCGTACGTCGGTCTCCGGGTCGTATTTTTTCTAAGTGTTTGGAACTTCGCAACGCGTTCAGAGTCCCGGGAGACCGTACGTCGGTCTCCGGTTCGTATTTTTTCTAAGTGTTTGAAACGGCGCAACGCGTTCAGAGTCCCGGGAGACCGTACGTCGGTCTCCGGTTCGTATTTTTTCTAAGTGTTTGAAACGGCGCGACGCGTTCAGAGTCCCGGGAGACCGTACGTCGGTCTCCGTGTCGTATTTTTTCTAAGTGTTTTCGAAACGTTCGAAAAATTTTTCGATCGTTGACCGAACCTCGAGAAGGGGACCAGACACACAAAAAACGTAGAAATGACGATTGCCAACCGTCGACATTTCTACGTTTTTTGTGTTTCTGGTCCCTTTCTCGAGGTTCGGTCAACACTCTCGAAAAAAAAAACACCCGAATATTTTCTAAGTGTTTGAAACGGCGCGACGCGTTCAGAGTCCCGGGAGACCGTACGTAGGTCTCCGGTTCGTATTTTTTAAAAGTGTTTGGAACGGCGCGACGCGTTCAGAGTCCCGGGAGACCGTACGTCGGTCTCCGGGTCGTATTTTTTCCAAGTGTTTCCGAAACGCTCGAAAATTTTTTTTGACCGTTGACCGAACCTCGAAAAAAAAACACCCGAATATTTTCTAAGTGTTTGGAACTTCGCGACACGTTCTCGGTCTCCGAGCGCTCGTAACGGGCAGAGATCGGCTTCGGATGCTGAAACGTCGGAAATACGTCGAAAACCGGCGTTTCGACGATAAGTCGGCGACTTGTCCCCGATGTTTCGACAAAAAGTCGGCGACGCGTCGCCCGACGTCGAAAAAAAATCCGATCGGGTCGGGAAATAAAACGAGAAGACATTTTCTGAAACCCGTGATTTTTTTTGACGCGCACGCGCACGACGTAGACTCGGCGAGTACGTCAAAAACCAGAGCCGGGCATCGGGCGCCTTCGGCAACGGCCGTATCCCCTCCCCGGACGCTGTCGACGGTGCCGACACGTTCCGTCCGATCGGACGTCGAAACGCCGAAAACACGTCGAAAACCGGCGTTTCGACGAAAAGTTGAGCGACTTCGGTGCTCCGACAAAAAGTCGGCGACCCGTCGCCCGACGTCGAAAAAAAATCTGATCGGGTCGGGCAAAAAAAACGAGAAGACATTTTCTGAAACGAGAGATTTTTTTTAACGCGCATGCGCACGACGTTTAAAAGAAATTTCCCCACCACCCCGTACCGGGTCCTTCTTCTCCTATACCTCTCTACCCCCTCCCCCTCCTCCTTATACAGACGCCGTCGGGTTCCGTTTACAAGTGGAGAATAGAGACTCTTCTTCGTCCTAGTCCTGAGACGGCGAGACGGCCAACGAAAATATAGTAACGTCTCGACGACCCCAAGCGGCGCTGTTGTCAACTACAATAATAGACGTTTAAGAAATTTCCAAATATTAATACGAGATTTGAAAAGAAAGGCGTTAAAATATATCCACATGAGATTATTTTCGTTTTCAACTATAACATTGTCATGAAAGACCGTATCTATATAATTAATGTACTTATGGTAAAACAGACTATCGCATGGTTAATGTTATAGTATAATATACCTACTTGAAATATTAAACACATTTATTCCATTAAAAATTATTATTATTATCTGAATGTCGGTTACCGATTACTTATGACTTCGTAGTAATGTAATTTTAATAAAATTATATATCAGACTATATTGTGTTGATCGTATAATAATTAACAACAACGTTGATATTATAATGATTTATGGTTTAGTAGAAAAATAAATTTGTGAAATGTCAAATCGTTGTTTTAACTTACACGTCGTCTAATCGATATTATTGTATAATTGCGGTATTCTATTGTTTGTTAATGAGTCACTCGCGCGCGTTGAAAATGAAAAGGTCACGTGATCAATTTTTAATGTCCAGCCCGCGCCCATAAATAACGTGTATATATAACAGTCGTGCACGGCTTTAGTTCACATTCATACACAGCATGTAGTGTCATCAGTCATCTCTCGTTGCGCTCGCGCACTGCTCTATATCATATTATCGGAATATTTAAAGTCAGTCGGATAATAATGTACGTTTGTCGGTGTGATTGAAAAAAAATTTATTTTATTAAAACACTGGTAAAATTCAACACAATTTCGGTTTGTTGAAACGAAAATTCAAAGTTCCTAAAATTTCTTATATTACTTAACACGACTATTTTCTTCACTTATTACTATATACTATGGTCATGCATATACCATAGGAGACGAACACCACGATATTAATTACGTAAGCATACTTACAACAACGCAGCTGGTACAGCGGGTGCTTCCATTTGCTCGGTTGAAATGTTGATTGTAGTTGGGTGTTACGTAGTTGTACAGGATTCTTTCTCGGAGTTGTTGGAAGGTGTGCAGGCTCCCAACGATGGTCCAGTGATGGATTTTCCTCCTTGATTGAATTTTAGAAGTTGAAAAATTTTTTAATTGTTCTTCAGGGTTCTTCTAAGTATCCTTTTGAGATACCCTGTCCACAGAGCCAAATTTGTAACGTACCAACCACTTCAACTCAATATTGATGGTATTTTGAATTAAAATAACAAGTTGATGGTATAATGATAGTTTATTTGTATTTATTTAACACGAAAAATATTCTAAGTCCAAATAATTAAATTATAAAATAGTGGTAAACGGGTTGTGACTTATTATCGACTTTGTGGCTGTTCTGCTATAGTGCTCGTCGTCTCGGCTGGTGTTCGTCTGATGGACACTTGTCCATCGACGTATTTCGTTGGTTTTCCTATTAGATCCCTCCTATGGCATTTTTAGTATAAAAATGGTACATAGCCGCGTACACCTGACGTCATTTCGGCGTCCTCTACGAAATAATGTTAATTGGGATTATATGTTTTCAAAGTTATCTATTTTTGTTGTTTACGGCTTTTTCGTCTTTCCTAGAATATGGATAATGCGCGCGTATACCTATTGCGCTGTACTATTAATTAGTTCTGTACTCTTATCGATGTGGCTGCCCGGACGCTTATATTATTACTATTATTGGGTTACGTGCCCTCTGCAGCATTTATATCTGTTATTGAATATAATATATTATATTATAAGCGTATTATACCAGGGCTTGAAACCGATTTTCGATACCGGTTTTAAATACCGGTTTAAACCGTTAAAAACTTAAACCGAAATCGAAACCGAAACCGAAATCGGAAAAAATTAATACCGGTATCCAAAACCGAAACCGAAATCGAAAAAAATCGATACCGGTATCTGAAACCGAAACCGAAAACGGAAAAAATCAATACCGGTTTCCGAAACCGAAACCGAAATCAGAAAAAATAAATACCGGTATCCGAAACCGAAACCGAAATCGGAAAACATAAATACCGATATCCAAAACCGAAACCGAAATCGGAAAACATAAATACCGATATCTGAAACTGAAATCGAAATCGGAAAAAATAATACCGTTTTTTGAAACTTAAGACAAAATCTTAAGAAATAACATGATATCCGAAACGGAAGTCGAAAAATTATAACATTAATATCCAACATTTAAAAAGCTCTACACATTTAAAATAAACCTATAGGCTATAATTGAATTTCTGTTTAAAAGCTATGAATAATATAATTTATAATGCATATGGTAGAAAATAATAAATATCGTGTACATTATGTAAATTTGTTCTATCCTTCTATCATACAATGCGATCAATATTAAATATAATATTATAACTTATAAGATATAATTAATTATTATAACATCATGTGGATGATGGCAAAGCTGGGCAAGTTAACCAATTTTTTTAACTAGTTAAAGTTAAGTTATCTTTAAATAAAAAATAACTATGCTAAGTTAAAGTTCATTAGTCTTTTATAAATTATCATATTAAATTATTAATATACTGTATTAATACGTCTGGGGTAATTGTTTACTCCGTGAGCAAAACGAAGAATTAAATTAAATTACATTTTTTTTACATGGAGTTGACATAGTATTTTTGTTAGTATATTATTAGTTTTTATAAATTATCATATAAATATTATATATTATTATTTATTTTAATAGCTTATAATATTTATATTGCCGTTTCCATTTCGCGTTTATAATAATATTATTAAAAATTATTAATTTGGTCCATTTATTAGACCTGTAGCCTAGGTCATGTGCTATGCCTTCTTTTTTTTTACTTAGTTTTACTTAGTTTTTTACTGGATTCTAAAATATTAACTCGAAAGTACCTACCTATATAGATATTTATATTATTATGTATACTTTCTGAGTTCTGTAGTAATGCAATTGATATTATTAATGATTAATGGTGCCTAATTTATTATATTATTATAATTAATATTTTATATAATATAATAATATATTATTATGTAAGTAAGTCTAGCTGCACTGGTGCAGTAATCTTCATCTGCGGGCACCCGTATGTTTGCATAGGTAATTTCACAGGGTATATAAATATTATTAGACGCATAATATATTATTATTATACGCAATATAATAATTATTATACTTATATATTATATATTATTTTGGTAAATGGATTAATCGTATAGTCGTATTCTAAAACAGTATACGCAGAAATACGCCATAATAAAAATTGTATAACAATTATACTATTATTATTTACTATATTATAAGCTGTCGTGTTTTTCTGCCGCCACAGACGATCAGAAGACAGAAATAACTATGTGGCATAATTTTCCTATATTAAATTAACACAATAGCCAACAATAAATTATGAAATACTGAGTCAATAATTATAGTATAGTTATAAATAATTTATATTATTTATAATTTACTATAATACATTATAAGGCCTTAAAATAATTGTCTGGGTTTCCCTAAAAGCCGTCGACTGAAAAATGTGCTCCCTACCAACCCACCACCAACCATACTATATTGGATTAATATACCTAATCTAGATTGGTATAATATAATCAAGCTGTGATCAATTTGATTAATGTGGTGGGTGGGACACGCATGAAGTTAGCCCCTCATTGAGAAAATGGTTTCAACTTATAAAAGATGAAGTTACACAAACTCTTAAAAAATTAGGTCGCAAATCATTTGGAAAATGTGTTATGAAGTAGAGAGGCTATAACTAAATACGTCATAGTTATTAATTACGTATTCATTCCAGTGTAAATATTATCATTGATTGCAAATACTATAGTAGTATAGTACTTGTCAGGCAACCAGACGCTAAATCGTACGCCACGCAATGTTTGGCATTTTCAAGTAGGTTCCTACGCCAGTATTTTATGTCATTATAAATTATTATAAATACAGGGATTAAAACCGATATTCGATACTGATTTTGAATACCGGTTAAAACCGTTAAAAACCGAAATCGAAACGGAAAAAATGAATACCGGTATCCGAAACCGAAACCGAAACCGAAATCGGAAAAAATCGATACCGGTATCCGAAACCGAAACCGAAATCGAAAAAAGTCAATACCGGTATCCGAAACCGAAACCGAAATCGGAAAAAATTGATACCGGTATCCGAAACCGAAACCGAAATCGGAAAAAATCAAAACCGGTATCAGAAACCGAAACCGAAATCGGAAAAATTCAAAACCGGTATCCGAAACCGTAACCGAAATCGGAAAAAATCAAAACCGGTATCCGAAACCGAAACCGGAAAAATTTTTTTCGGTTTCAAGCCCTGTATTATACTTAATACAGCATAATATAATATAATATTTTATATATTATTACTATTATAATATGTACGTAGTCACAGCCCGTTACAACCACCCTAGTCCTACACTTGGACAATAATTCTCCACAAACTCTAAAATAGTACCTATAACCTTGATCTCGATTTTACCAAAACATATACCACAACTTTACCTACTTAACACTAACAAAATCATATCCTATGTACCTATACGATATCTATCACTCAATATCACCTAATATATAGGTACCTACCTATAAAATCAACACTCACTTAATATCACTTAATCACACTAATCCTACACTTAACACTAATTCTCCACAAACTTTAAAATAGTACCTACACCCTTGATCTCTATTTTACCAAAGTGTATACCACCTCAAATGTACCTACACGATATCTACCACCCAATATCCCTTAATATATACCTATTGTGCTATAATAAAATCCA